ACAAAATGTTAAAAATTCAGGTCTTAATGTTTATAACAAATTGCTCTGTGATTTTTTTTTTAAATTACTCGGGACCTATTGGTCGTCGAAACTCGTTTTTGTTTTTTTACGACCTTTTGAATGGTGTATATAACTTCTTAAAATCGCGGAGTTATTTTATTTGTTTATTAGGGAAAAAAGTGCCTTCTATTTGGTGACAATTATATACAACTAAATTTGAAAAAAATATATATTTTTTTAACTAGAGGATATTTGGTGTTTCTTCGAAGAAAATGAGCCCAAAAATAATGTTTTAGTCACAACCCTGCCCCCGGAATAGTCATTTGAAAATGGGCCTTTTTTGCAAAAATTAGATAAATAAATGTAATTTTGCAAAAACTATTTGAACGATCGAGTCCATCTTTTGCACATCTCTTAAGGATATAAAAACTCACATGTTGGGAAAGTTTGGTAAGATTTTATTAATTATTTAAAAAGTTATTAACAATTAAAGAAAAAGTACTTTCTCTGTTTAATTTTGCAATAAATTTTTTGTTTATAAAGCAATTTTAACTTTATAAAGTCTCATTTTAAAGATGAGTTTCTCTAGATCAAATCGTCTGTTGAACTTTTTTGCAAAGATTAATAGTTTTTTTACAATAAAGCGTAGAACGAAAAATGACGAATTTTTGACCTATTTGTTGATAAAAACAATGACGCTATACTTTTTTCATGACCCATTTGATGAGACGCCTTTTGTATTATCATTCCCAAGACTTTCCAACAATAAAATCACGCCCGGTAATTTTTACGAGTTCTCCATGATTTTTCACCTTTATTTCTTGGTCTAATACAAGATTTAGACTGTTAAATAGTTTGAGGCTAAAAACGAAACGAAACAATTTTTTTCTGGTAAACTCTAGTTGGTACTTCAACATAATTATCTTATTTTTGTTTGAAATTATCTCTCGAACGGGCCCCTCGAAGGTTAACGCGGCTCACCTGGGAAGCAGACGCCGCGAACCTTATTGTGCGATGCAAATTTTCATATCCTCCGATTGTAAGCGTTGCGGAAGTCGGTAATATCACACGCCGTCTAAACTATAAATATGGATTAGGCTGCTACGTACGGAATTCAAGCAGGCCGTGCTAGAAGACGACCCACTTTGTGGAAACTTTCTTTTCACTCGACCGCAACGAATGACAATTGGATTGAATGTACCAGTGGCGGCACCAGCCCAATTTTTTAAAAGCAATATATAAATAAAAATTAAATGCTGTTCGTTGGCAAACGCCAGTGGCGGCTCGTGGTAAATTTTGATAAAAGTGAATTAATTCTCTTTTTAGAAAATATTACGTTAGTTAACTTATTCTGTAGAATTTGGAATACAACATCGGTTTGTTCAAAAATCATTGTAAAGGTTTTTAAGAAGGAAATGAAATTTTCGTCCAACAACAATTGTTTTAATCCACAAGCGGACCCTAAAGTTTGTTGCTCATTTAAAAGATCCTCACTATCCGATATGAAATCAAAAACCTCAATAAGTTTCTTTTTCAATAAGATTTGACCGTAAAAACAGCTCTAGAAGAAAAATTCCAACGAGTGGGAGCATTACTTGGAATCCTGTGTTGCATTATTTTATTTAATACGTCAGATCTTTCAGTAGATTTGGAAAAAATGACGAAAATCCGGAGATTTGAAAAAAATTCTCACTTTAATGCCGTTGCAAGCTTTACTTAAAACTAAATTTAATCTACGTGCGTAACAATGATTAAAATCATAGGTTTGGGTTTTAATTTATTTTTTAAGTAACATTTTTCAAATTCATTAATTAATAATTTAAACAAACTGTCTGCAACTCTCCCACTTGTTATGTAAAAAACATTATGCACATCATCAAATTGCCAGGATAAAAATTCGTCATAAATTTTACTTTTGATAATCGAACTAATACTCTCAATTAAATCGTTTTGAAAGGTTTTAGACGTTCCCGAAAAAACAGTGGCATTATCTAAGAAATTCTGCAATTTTGAATCGTATGTCTTGAATAAATTTATTAACTCTTTAAAGTTCCTTCGATTAGCAGAATCCACTTTTTCATCATGTTCTCAAAAAGAAATTTGAGATGATAAAAATATTACTACATCGATTAGTCTATTTAAAATATCTCTATTTTCACGAACCTTCTCATTATAATGATGTATTTCCGTTTTGTGAACAGAATCTAAAGCGTTCACAATATTCTGTTTACCGAACATTTCAAATTTAATACGAGACGAAATATGTTCTTACGATTTTTCGTGTCGAGGCCTTTCATTAAATTTTTTAAATTGTTAAAATCGACCTTGCCCCAAACCGATAAATTATCATTAGTGAAAAATAAACATTGCCAGCAGTATAATTTATTTCTAATAGTTGACGCAGTTAACCAGTCGCTTTTTTTGTAACTATTATCGTTAAATCCCCTATTTTGTTTTTCACCCACTGCAACTAAAGACGGCAAAGAAGGTGTTGCCCTCGATTTCTGTTTAATTATGAGCTTTTCATTATAACTGAGACTACTAAATCCTTTTAATAATAAATAATCCACAATTTCCATGCAACTAAAGAAGTTGTTGAGGTTATGTTCGTTTTCCACACTCATTTTATTTTAATAAAGTTGTGTAATGTCAATGATTGTTTTACTATTAATTATGATCGTCTCGCAAAAATTCCTAAGAAACACCATGAACACCAGTTAAAAACAGAAACGCGCGTAATCACAGTCAACCAATGTTTTTATTACGAAATTCAAAATGCAATTGCGATTGCGATCGCCGAGGAGATAGAGAAGAAGGGCTATATTGAAAGATACGCTTGTTAAAAAGAGATGGAAGGTGGCAACAAGCCTCCGTGCCCGATTGGTTAAGGTCGAATGTAGATATCGTGCCATTCTTTCAAGGTCACGCAACATATAGCACACTGGTAAATAAAGGCTTCACGCTTGAGAATGTTAGCTGACAGCAACTATAACGCGAATTCGGAGGGCGCGAAAAATAGTGAACATATAAAAATCGAATATTTACGTACTCGAAACTACGTACTACTTAGTAGGTATGTACCTAATTAGTTGCATATGAATATGAAAACAGATTTGTACGAAAATTTCTTAAATAATATTAATTATATGATGTAAAATAAGAAAACTAACAGAAAACTTTTGCAATACTATCAAAAACTGCAGAGGAGGCTTAGCCAAGACACCAAGATTTTGCTGGTTCTTTGTTTTTTTTTAATTCCGATATTTTCCAGGTGGGAAGTTTTAATTAGAACACCCTGTATGTTGTAATATAGTGACGATTGTAAGTTTCTTTCTATAACCGGAAAGAAAACGGACATGTCTATTTCTTATGGCGGTTAACGGACAGTTGAGTTTAGTTTATGTCCTGTTTGTGTTTTCTAGAACAAAACAAAAACAAAACTGAAACAAACCCAAAACTCTTGTTTCCATCAAGCGGGCTACATTTTGTTCGAGTTTTGTTTTTGTTTTTGGTCCTTTTCCACTGGTTGTCGCGAGGAAGTCAGAACACATTTTTCCAATAACCAGCCAACATGTTTAGAGAATATTTTTTATTCTTAGTTATGGCTGGTTTATACTGAAGTCCTTGGAAAAAAAGTGTGTCGCACCTCGAACTCCATCGATGGATATCTGGGAAACCGCTCTAAGGATTTTTTTGAAATTGTGATGGTGTGATACGGACCGTGGGGCCCACCAAGTTAAAATATTTTTAAGGTCATCGTACTTCCGGTTACACCGGAAGTCGATACTAACTTTCTTATTTTAAATGGAACTCCCTGTATATTATTGCATTTTTGGAAACATCATCCATTTTTAAGTTGAAAACATATAGCACACTCCATACTTAGGATTGACCGTTTTCGAGATATTTCGAGTTTAAACAAAAATTGACAGATGCAGACTGTCAGCAAAATTTAGTTTTCCCGGTTTATTTTTTTTGCAAATTGGACATTTTGTAGAGAAAGACCTACTGTATCGAATTTGACATGAAAGTTTTCCAGTTTTTATACATGGTGGTCAAAAAAATTTTATCGAATATGAAGTTCAGAATATGCGGAAAACACGAAATTTTTAAATGGAAACCCCTAATTTTTTTGCAATAATATACAGAGGGTTCCATTTAAAATAAGAAAGTTAGTATCAACTTCCGGTATAACCGGAAATAAGATGACCTTGAAAATATTTTAGCTTGGTAGACCCCACAGATATCCGTCGATGGAGTTCGTGGTATATGTACGGTTAAAGTGTTTACTTGGTTAGTTTGAATCCTAGCCAAGCAAACACTTTAACCGTACACATATATATTTTTTAATAGCTATAATTCATTAATGATTAAAATATTGTTTTTGGGAAGAAGAAAACGCCAACATAGATATTGGGTTGGATCACTTAAATAGAAAACACAACACGACCGTTTCCACTAAACAGACTTGAGTTTCAGACCACGTCGAAACCTTTTGATGTGACCGCTTTCGAGCGGGATCCGAAAAACAAAACTCCAACTATCGCAAAACACGCCAGTCTTCAAAAAGTTTGCGAAAGTTGCAGTTCTGTTTTATTCGACAGTTTGTGTTTTGTTTTTGTTTTGTCAGTTTAGTGGAAAACCGCCTTTAGAATCAGCATGCGCCATCTATTGTTTGCTTAGTGAACTGTCTAGTAAAAACATTTCACATTAAAATTAGAATACTGGTCGAGTGTAGTTGGGAAATCCCCTCAGACGCTTTTAAAAGCATCCTTATCGATACTGACGATTTTAGCACTCTCTAAACTATTTTAAGTCAGGCGCTACCCCCGTCTAGGGTACCGCAGACTTTACAGAACGGATTTACAGCTGGCCATTAGACAGATGGTCTCTCCCGTCTATTAATTTTAGAATGTTATCTTCCCTACCTGCTACAAAGCGGACGTGACTGGAAATGGCGGATTTCCGAGGTGCTGCTGGTTTCGAAATATCCTGGACGTCATAAAATAATTGACGAAACTGGAATTTTTATATAAAATAGATATATACGACAGAGATCGCTTTTATACTTTCGTTCCCACTCGTTTGTTTTGTTCTGAAGAACAATAACGTATTTCTTGGTGTATGGTACATAGTTATTTATTTTTTCAGGGTATCAGAGACTTTTCCAAAATAGGCCACTACGACAGGACGGTGCTTATGGCCCTACAAGCAGCTGAAACCCCCGTGAGGTACGGTTTGTCCGAGTGGGAGCGCTTGGTCATATACAAGACCCCACAAAGCTTCGAAGATGACGACTTGCCCAAAGGTGAGTTTTTTCTTGTCCATTTTCTTAAAAAACCGAACAGTTCACCTTGAAGTTCATTGTGGGTACTTTTCTAGATAGTGTTTCTGGTTTTTCGTATTAAATACAACTGACGGAATAAAGTGGGATTATTTTTTTTATGGGTGGGGCCCTGAAAAGTCGTCATTTGGTAACTACAGATTTTTGATACGGTTGCATCTTCCAGAAAAATGTCTTAAGGATTTTTTTATTGAAAAAATAACATCGTAGTCATGGGTGCCGTCAGAAAGTTTTGCAAGAGGGGCAAAGCTGACTTCTATTATAAATATATACGAAAGAAAAATAAAAATGAAGACAAACAAAACATATACATAACAAAATTAATAAAACAAAAAACACTGTAGGTTTGTTACTCACAAAATGTCAGTTATGTCATTAATGGAAATTTATTATTTTACTCTTATTGATCATTGATTGTAGTTGTTTATTTAACTTTTTATTTCTTGTTGTTACTTCAAGCAACTATTTTTAATAAACATCAAAGGTGTATAGTGTAAACTGGGTAAAAAAATCGACTATTTTTTTTTGAAAGATATATCGAGAATATCATTGAGAATGACAAAAAAAATATCGTGAGAGTTTGAGCCCTTAATATTAGTTTTAAGAGGTCTATCATCGCTAGCTTCGATTTTTTATTCTAGATCCCATTTTTGCGTCAAAACTGCAAAACAATCGAGGTAAAAAAAATTATCTACGTATATTTTTGAAGGAAATTGAATGACCTACAAAAAAGGTCTGATTGAAAATTTTCGGAAGACGAGCCATTTTCATGTAATTAAGTGTTGAAACTTGATGTTTTTTCGATTTGACTTTTTAACTTTGGAATTATGTAAATAACCAACAAATTAATATCTGAAACAGAACAATACAGATTTTCAAAGAAAATTTAATGCTCTACAAAAAAGGTCTCTTAACATTTTTACATAAATGTACTACTTCAAAAGTTATTTACGATTGAAGTTGAAGTAAAAATTAAATTTTTGTTTTTTTTTTCGTTTTGGACCCAATTTTTTTCACTCATTGGAACAAATTTATATTATACATCATCGACAATTATTATTCTATCAATATAATCACCAAAAATATCCAAAATTCATAACATATTCAAACTTATTCTCGCTCAATAGCTGTTTTTTCTACAAGAACGTAGTTTTACTGACTCAAAATAATTTTAGAAATAACAATTATGTAGTTTCACCATTGAAAATTATTTATTTACAATATTGTATACATTTATATGAAAGAAAAATCAGAAAAACTGCATGATTGTTATTTTTAAAATTGTTTTGAAACAGAAAAACTACGTTCTTGTAGAAAATTGAGCATTGAGCGAGAATGAATTTGAATATATTATGAATTTTGGATATTTTTGGTGATAGAATAATAATTGTCGATGATGTATAATATCAATTTGTTCCATTGAGTGAAAAAAATTGGATCCAAAACGAAAAAACAAATATTTAATTTTTACTTCAACTTCAATCGTGAATAACATTTGAAGGAGTAAATTTATGCAAAAATGTTAACAGACCTTTTTTGTAGAGCATTAAATTTCCTTCGAAAATATGTACTGTTCTTTTTCAGATATTAATTTGTTCGTTATTTACAAAATTCCAAAGTTAAAAAGTCAAATCGAAAAAACATCAATTTTCAAGGCTTGGAAACGACTCGTCGGCCAAAATTTTTCAATCAGACCTTTTTTGTAGGGCATTCAATTTCAAAATATATGTAGATAATTTGTTTTACCTCAGTGGTTTGGCAGTTTTGACGCAAAAATGGGACCAGGAATAAAAAATCGAAACTAACGATGATAGACCTCTTAAAACTAATATTGAGGGCTCAAACTCTCACGATATTTCAAAAAAAATGTATGTAATGTATGTATTTTTAAATGGAACACCATGTATTTTACTGCATTTTTGAAAGCACCGGAAAAAAATTGGTGAACTTTATTAAAGGTTCTACATACCTAGGACTTAAAAAAAAGGCGTATAGACGATTGTCTGTTGTTTTTGAGCCAAAAATAAGTTTTTTTCAATCAATTCTTAGTCATATGTCATATCTTTTAAAAAATGCAATGTACTACAATAAAATTTGGAGGTAAGTTTTTGAGTGTGTAAATTTTTGTTAGTTTTGGGAAGTGATTTTTTAAGGTTAGAATTTCTGCATCTATTCGCTCATTTTAATATAGAGGTTCATAATGGGGTACTTTCATTCAACTGCAAAGAAAATTGACAGTTAATTTGAGGGATACAGACAGAGACTATCATTGCTTACACCAAAAAATACCCTTAATGCAGGAAAATATACTTAAAATGTACAATTTAAATAAAAATATTTACATCGACATCCTAAGCTTATTAGGTAGTAATTTGAATTTTTCATTTATTCTGGTGTCCCAAAAGCGTTATTTTTAATTCGGACTAGATATTATTTTATTAAACAGATTCTAGACATAGTCTTGTTTATGCCTGTCCGTATCGTTAATAAATTTGGCAACAATGAAGGTATCGCCCTTAGTGACGTCACAACACATATTTTATTTTTTTAGGACTTAAACGAGATTAAAACGAATGAAGAAAAAATACGAGTTCCACATTTTTTCACCTATTTTCATTTTGTCGTGTAGTTAAAAAATTGGAAAATTTGTAATTGCTGAAAACGCATTGTTTTCGAGAAAAATGCAGTTGAACATTATTTGAACAAACATAAAACATTTTGTTCGCTGTTTGTTTAAATTTTGCATTGTAATATGCAATGTATAATACCGTAAACATAACCTAAATAAAAGTGTCACAGGGAACGATCGTAACTAACGACACCTACAAGATACCAGAAAACTACAACACTGACGTACTAGAATCATCAAAAACTTAATTGTACCAAATTTCAATGCTATACACTGTATTCTGCAAAAGATACAACTAAAATTTATTACTCATCGTCTTTGGTGGCCTTTATCTCAAAAAGAAAAGGCAATAGACACATGATCATAGAAAGAATCGTCTTACTTAATTTTGATGTTTCTTTTCTGTTTTAAAAAGTGAATCGAAACAAAAAGAAAACGCCGAAAAGTTTGTAATTAATTTTTTATTTGAAGTAAGAGTAAGCTGTCTAATCCGTAGCAAAAATTATATATTTGTTCGTCCACCAAAATACGTCATTTGACAGTAAATGCAATCTTTATCAATTTTACGACGATTATTTCCTGGACTATCAGGTCCCTTGGTGCGGACATCCATATTTGTGTAATAAATGAGAGATCAACGACGGAAAACCCCTGAGAGGAAGTGACTCACCTCCCCGGTTTTCCCAACAATCAACGCGGTTGGGGACTTTGATAAGCAAAGCATACTTATTCGGTTTTCTGTTTCGGTTTCAGATCCTCGTCAGTGGACCCGCGACGACGTCGCCCAATGGCTCAGGCACGTCACCTCCCTGCACAAACTACCGGAAGTGCCCCCCTCCAGGTTCCTGATGAACGGGAAAGCGCTGTGCCTGATGTCCCCCAGCATGTTCCTGAGCAGGGTACCTCTTGGAGGCAAGCTCCTCTACAAAGACTTTCAGCTGAGATTGTGCGCTGCGATGTACTCCAGAACTTAAAATAATAAGTGACAAAGTGGGTCATAATTTTTGGGGAGCGGTGTATCTAGGGTGTATAAGCTGCGCGACAGTGTTTAGAACTGGGAAGTTACCAAATTTAAGTATTATGTTTCTACCACGTCACGACAGTTCGGTTGGTTCCTACAATAGAGATAAGAAAAAAAATAAATAAAACTTCACCTTAGTCTCCATCTACCTCATTTCCGTTAGTTTTTGTATGGCAGCGTTGGTTCTGGGATGGTGAATAGTATTAGCGATACCAAATGTGTGGTACGAAGTAGAAAGTTGGACTGAGCGTTGTTTTTGTAATATATGTTTTGATTTTGTATATTTTCCTGCTAGTCATGTAAATAAATAATTGTGTAATTAAAAGAGCTATTACGAAGTGTTGTTTTTCTTTGAAAATCTTTTGGAGAAAAAATATTTAAGAATGTAAAAACGATTTGCAACTGTGTATTTTAAGTTTTACTCGAAAATTGGGCTTTTTTTTTCGAAAAACATAAGAGAGTAGTAATTAGAAGAAAATTGAAAGACGAATCCGAAAATATCATGGTTGTTACCGTAAAGAAGTGGCGTACTACTTTATTTAGAAAAATATGCCACCAATACCCTGTATCTCCGTCACTGGATCATGCAAAATTTTAGGAAAAGCCCTCAGATTTTGGACAATGTCTACATAAAACGTGCCCAATTTCAAATTATTTCACTTATCAGTTTTTAAATAACACCACACACAAAAAAAAGTCTGAAATGTACATGCGACATATGATTTCCGATGTATTTTCGTCCGCTGAACACGAATCCGGAGTCAGAATTGCTCCATCACCCTTCAATTTTCAGCAAAACGCTGAAAAATTAAAATTTTCCTTTTTCAGAAGATTCTTCAGCAAATACATGGGAAATCATATGTCGCATATACATTTCAGACAACTTTTTTGTGTGTGGTTGTGTAATTAAAAAAAAAAAAATTGTTTGAAGTTCAACAGCCTGTATCTTTTTAATGAAGCGTCCTAGATATAAACTTTATAGGAAAGACCCATTAAAATTCACCAAAGAATACGAGGTTTCGTTCTTGGTCACCATTTCTGAAACACCCTGTATACAGGGTGTTTCAGAAAGACCTCCCGTAAATTCACAGGGGGTGATAGTACGACAAAAAATAACAATTTTTTGTCTTATGAACTATAGTCTATATCCTCTTGTTTTCGAGATACAGAGCGACAAAATAATTTTTTTTAAATGGAATTTTTACGAAAATTTCCAAACGGTGCGAAATATTTTTATGAAATTTGGTTTTCCGGGGTTTTTAAGGACGCCAAATACACTGGTCTAATTATTTTTTGTATATTTCATAGAGGGCGCTAGTTATGCTACAGTCGTATTACATTTTCAGTTCTAATTTTTTTTTGAGGTTAGATTTTTTAATTAGTCATTACTAACTACAGTCACTAACAATCAATAAAATTTTGATATAAAGTTAATTAGAGTTTAAAATATTTCTGAGAATGTATGCGTTGTTTACGAAACATCCATCAATAAGTTTTGACATATGCCTACTTTGAGAAAAGTCACTTATTTTCTTCACCGTAATATTGTAAGTGTTCAATTAAAAGCCGTTTTTCTCGAAAACCGTCCACATTAGGAAGTTCTAACAAGAGTATATTATTTTTAGAAAATAAAACTGTACATTAGAAATTGGAGCCCGAATGGTAAAAAACCTAACCTTAAAAAAATTAGAACCGAAAATGTAATACGAATGTAGCATAACTAGCGCCCTCTATGAAATATACAAAAAATAATTAGACCAGTGTATTTGGCGTCCTTAAAAACCCCGGAATACCAAATTTCATAAAAATATTTCGCACCGTTTGGAAATTTTCGTAAAAATTCTATTTAAAAAAAATATTTTGTCGCTCTGTATCTCGAAAACAAGAGGAGATAGATAGATACCCAACTAAAACAAATGCTACTATTACATCACTCAAAGTTATATAACTTTTTAATAGCAGCAAATGTATCGTTTTTGATTTTTAATGCCTTAATAAGGTGTTAGTTTGCTCCTATGGCAATTTTGGTATATAAAAAAGCTGTTAGAACATTTTAATAGTAAAATTTATAAGATCCACTTCTTATTTGTGGAAGGGCGAAATGGGCGGTGACTATTAGACGCCTTCATTATAGCCATCTTTCTCTATCGCACGAATTTCTATGACTTTCTTGAACCATGGGGACTTTCCGACCCTGCATAGTGGTTTTATAAGTACAATATATAAAGCTCTATCTCTTGTTTTCAATAGTTTATGGTATTATAAATAATTTATTATAATATTTCAACCCTTAAAAAACAACCCCTAATAACAAAATATTTAAAAAAATAGTTTTTTAGAGTTCAAAATGATTTGATAGTACAAACAGGATAAATTAAATTCTCTTACCTGTTATAATACAATTTGTAATTTAACGCTTTGTTTTAACCCTTAAAGAGCACCCCCAATGACAAAATTTAAAATGAATTACAATTTTTTTTCGTAATAACTTTCTTTTTGCCGATTTACTTTAATTTTATTATGCAATAATCAAAATAATTAATTCTCAATATGTTTGTCATGCATAAAGCCATAATTTCAAATTTTCAAATATATATATATACAGGGTGCGCCATTTAACACTCACCCTGCTAATATCTCCGAAATGAGGAAATTTATTTCAATTCCGGAAGTTGGGATTGTTAGGTCCCTCGAATAGCTTCAAATTGTAGTTAGAACTGTTAGTTCAAATCTTTCTGTTTAGATGGCGTGGCGCTACTAAAAATTTTTTTTATCCCTGAAACCCCAAGAACTGCAAGTCATTCCAGACGAGCAGTTCGCCTTCCGACCCAATCACTCCACTGAACTCCAAATCCTTCGCCTTACCGAGCACATCACGGCGGCCTTCAACAGGGGACAGTACACTGGTGCTGTCTTCCTGGACGTCGCAAAGGCCTTCGATACGGTTTGGCATGAAGGCCTACTGATGAAAATGCTCACCAACCAATATCCCATATCCTTTACCAAACTCATAAAATCCTACCTACACCACCGAAAATTCCGCATCCAAATCCAAGATTCCCTTTCCACCACCCGTCCCATGGAGGCCGGTGTCCCCCAGGGCACCGTCCTGTCCCCACACCTATACACCATTTACAACTCCGACATCCCACATCCCCCCAACACCAACATATACTTATACGCCGACGACCTGACAATCACATCCCAATCCGTAGATCCTAGATATTCCGTCTACCTCCTCCAAAGCTCCTTAGACCAACTTGAAACCTGGTGCAACAGGTGGAAAGTCAAAATTAATCCCAACAAAAGTTCGGCTATCCTTTTTACCAAACGAAAAATCCCACAAAACCTTGACAGACTGACACTATCCCAGGAACCCATCTCCTGGAATCGACAAACACGATACCTGGGCGTGACGATGGACCAGCGTCTCACGTGGAAACCGCACATCGTGGAGACGGTGGCGCGAGCGAAGACCACCAGGGCTAGGCTCTATCCCTTACTCAAAGGTGGAAACACCCTCAGTTTAAGGAATAAGCGAACGCTTATCAAGGTGGTACTTCAACCGCAGCTAACCTACGCCTCCACGGCGTGGGGTCACGCGGCAAAAAGCCACTTAAAGTCATTACAGGCTGTGGAAAACATAGCCCTCCGCACGGCCACCGACGCGCCCTGGTACGTAAGAAACACTGACATATTACGAGACTTACAATACACAAACGCTACACAGACAATAAGACAAAACGCGGAGAAACGATTTGACGTAGCCGCTAGACATGACAATCCCCTCCTCAGGCAAGCCGTTGACTACGTACCCGACGTGACCGACAAACACAAAAGACCTAGACACCAACTTTTTGACCCTGGGTGACCACCCCAATGACCCCCCCCCTGCCCGCTAACCTTTTCTGTTTCAGAGACAGCCAGGATCAAGAAACGAAGACAACGACACACACACACACACACACACACACCCCCCATACCCTCCTTAACCCTCCCCTCCCGCGCTAGCCTAAGGGCCACCTTAGCAAAGCGCATCCCAGGCTGCATAGCCGCACTACCCTACCCAACCATACCACACATAAACATGACACTACCCCCGGGGTTTACACAGACGAGCCGGCGAAGCAAGAAGAGCGCCAGAAGAAAGGGCCCTAGCCGGCGGGGCCCAGCCAGGACAAAAGGAGGTCCCACAAAGCGCCTACACCGGCCGCATTTGCGGTCGGGGTAGACGACGGATGGGGCCCACCTACGAAGGCTGTCCAGGCCTACACGAGATGAGGCAGGATAAAGAGGGATAATCCCCCTCAATCCCAAATTATTGAGGCCAATTTCTAGCCATGGAATAATGGCGCGTATCCCTGAAACGTGGAAATGCAGTCCAACTACAAGATCGTTAAATTTTGAGTAATGTTTGTAATATAAAGTTTTTCCCTATATTTACTTGTTTTCGAGATATGTCGACTTCAAATATGCAATGTATGATGTAAGAGAAAAATCTATTATTTTATTTAAAATTCATCAGTTTTTGTACTGTTTTTTTTTCCAAAAAAGCGAATTAACAGGCAAAGGGGATTTACAACAGATATCAGCCTAGGGACTTTAACTGTGACTGTATCGCCCTCTTTTGACGAACACCGTAAGTTGCTCGTCTAAACTACAGAACCTTGTGCCATATTGGTCCGAAACTAAACTAAACAGATTCTGGAATCACCTCACAGAGGGCGCTGTATGCTTTCAAGATTAAAAAGGCGTTTTTTCCGCTAAACGGGTCTATACTCCCGACAGTTCACAGATGGCGCCGCCGGCGTCGAATTCCTCACCGCTGACTTTCTCAGAGAAACGATATGAGATGCTAACATATTCAAATTTATTCCGGTTTGATGATCGAGTATTTTGTAGCGCTCGATTGCGGGAACTACACGGGTAGTTCTGTACTTTTCTGTCAACTTAATAGTATTCCTAAACGGAGGAGTCATTCATTCGTTTTTTTTTTTTATATACGGTTATATGTTACAAGTATTACAACAGCGATTGTATAAAGCACAAAAAACGTGTTCTGTAAATGTAACGAAATGTCACGGTAGTCTTGGGAATTAAAGATCGTCGAGCGCGTGGTTTTGATTGTCGAATGTAAAGTTGCGTACGGGGTACCTTCATAGTTCTTGCAGTATATACGGGGTCGCCGATATGTATGGAAACGGTCGATTATCTCCTAAAGTAAGATAGCTGTCGAAAAATCATAAGACAAATGTTTTTAGGGTTTTCTTAAAATCTATTATAATAAAAAAAAGAATATACTGGATTTTCCATTACATTTAAAACGACATTTAAAGAA